TCTTGCCTTGCTTTAAACAACATCAGAGATGTACTCATTTACCCAAGATTCTCCCATGCTCCCTCTACTGACTGGCACTCTACTATTCCAATCTTGACAGACCAGGAGCAAATCTGTGTGTCTGCAGAGAATGCCATTTGGGATCTGAAAGCTGACACCAGGCAGGATCTACTTCCTATGGACTGTCACCCAAAGGGTGCATTTGTCCTCCTGATTTGGCGTTTCATTTCTAAAGCCCATCATCTATCCTGTTTCATCCTCTGGAGCTCACTCTCTACCATTTGCTTATTTTATTTAATGGTAGAGTTGCCTCTTGTAAATGTCTTCTTTCCCAGTCCAGGCATTCACTCATCTCTTTTCTCTCACTCAGTAGGAGGTCCTGATGTTAATAATCTGAGTTGGCATTGGGAACTTTCAGATAATCTTTCCTGACAGGACACACAAAGACTTCAAAGGAGTGGTCCCTGTTGGCTTCCTCTCTCAGTGGGGAGCCAGCCCCCTGGAGCCCTGTGCCATTTCTTTTGGCCTTTCTTTCCTCTTGAGCAAAGCTTGAGTTGTATATTTCATTTGCTTGGGCTAAAATCCTGAGATTGAAACTATCTCTCATCTCAATATCCTTGGTCAGTTTCTTCTTTCCGCTTCGGATTCCTCCTTCTAATATGGAGGTTGATTCCGGGTAACTCATACAGGTTTGCTGTGATGATTTGTAAAAAGAATGTGCAAATGAAACATTTCACATGGAAATGGGAACATTCTAGTGATTTGTAATCGCTATTTTTCTTGTCTCCTCTCCACCTTAAAGGATGTGAATGTAAATCAGAGCTTGTCTCAGGCTTGGATGTTTTGTGATTGCTATCAGTCATGGGTGAATGTCCGTGAACATTTCTAATTGCACACATTTGCTCCAATTAGATTCTTCTTAGAATCACGAAGTCGTCAACGGTCCACCCACCATGTACAGAAATCTTTGCCTACTCTTAGCAACTGTGCTTGTTAGTCATTTTTCTAGGGCATTTATTTGACGATAAGGAAGCATTGCCATAAACTCCATTTCTGGAATTTTCAACAACAGAGGGGAGACTTAGTCCCCTGCAGAGTAAACCCTGAAATTATTCATGGTTAGTGGAGACGTGTTGGCTGGAGGCCTGGACGATGGCTAGCTACACCATGAAAATGATGCTTGCCTTTCGGTTTTCCTTCCAAGTGCATCTTGGAACTGGTCAAGATGTACCTCACCAAGCCACGTTTTCCTCCCTCTGTCCACGCCTGTCTCAGGGAATCTGAGACTCAGGTTTCATTTGGGGAAACATTCATTATGTTTTAATTTTTTTCATATTATTTTTATTTCTAACAAAGACAAATAGCCAGAAAATTACTACTAACTTTATTGGTAATTATTATTGATTGGAGTATGACTTGTAAGAAAATTTGAAAGTTAGAGACTTCTCCAGAGTGAATATTTACGGTTTATAACACACCAGAATTAGACCATTTTATCAATATAAAAGGCAAATATTAGATAAGATTTAACCACAAAGCAAATGAGTTTTTTAAAAGTGGTCAGCCATATCTATTTATCAATTTAAAAAATGAGAGCGTAATGAATACAACACACTGCCCATCCCCATATCTCTGTTAAACATGTTGCATATCTCCACTAAGAGTATAATAGATGAATGAGACTCTTTACATGGGAAGTACAAGGGAAGAGGTAGACATGCATGTAAAACTGACCAGAGATGAGAGGATGGAGAGAATGAGCTACAAGGAAGAAACCAAGTGAGGGCCAGAGAGGACACTAGCTGATCTTAATGATGGCCAAAGGAGGCTTCATTAAAGCTCCCATTTAGCAGTGTAGTTAGAGATGAGAATCTAGTCAGTTCATAATCACTAAACTATGGCTTCCAAGGGTACATGGGCTAGTACTACCTAACCAGATCTCAGGCAATGCAGAGGAAATAAGACATGTAGTCCCTCCACCCACTCCCTCCATCATGCCTGTTAGGATCCAAATTCTTGTTTGGGCTCCTTACGAATATTTCTGTACAGACTGTACAATGACACTTGACATCATCCAAGTTGGTGGTGCTATGCACCTTCCCTGAGCCTCTCTTTCCCCTGGCTCTGACCTGAAGCTCAGGACCCCTTTTCCATTTCTGTATATTCCTGCATTCCTTTATCAGTCTATTTCCCACAGTGCATGTCTGTTATTGGTGTGCCTGAAGGTGACATTCAAAATCTTTGACAACTGGTCAGCCGTGATAGCAGAACACAAGCTGCTGTTGCAAGCCAGCACTGAGAGACTGAGGGGTCACCTGTCAGCCTGGGTTGGGGGCGGGGAGGGGGGGTGGCGGGGTCCATCATAAGACAGCAGACTATAAAATGAGACTGCTGTATTCACCCAAGTATCACCGATGCTCAGCACATGTCGACTGCATAAAGACATCCTAGGTTATTCTGTAAGACAACTACTTTCATTCACCATGCCAGTGTTTTCAAGTCACATCAGGAGAGGGCTGTCCTCACATACAATGACCATATTGCAGTTTTACACGTAGTTTTTACTCAAGCTACATTAAATATATAAGAAAATAAGATTATGGGCTTTCAGATGTTAATTAATTACAAAGGCCCTTCTAGGTTTAGGTTAGCTAAATGCCTGTAAATTCTGGTTAGTTAAAAAACCTGGTACTTGTAGAACAGGGCCCCTGACTCCCTCCTCTAGAGCCCCATATTTGAAAACCTATATTCCTATGTTTCACTGACACCAGTTCTTCTACCATTTCAAATTTAGCCAGACTAAAATAAATGACATTTTAATGGCTATTGAGTTATGATATGCCCTCTTCTACTATTAGAAGTTAATTTCACTATATTAACAATATATTATTAATGAAACTTTCCCTTGGGATACTTAACCTAAAATAGCAGCCAGCACATTACCAAAACCACACATCAGCCATTCCCTGGAGCTAACTGTGATGCTGTGTGAACTCAGTATCAGCAGCCTTCCTTTCTAGGGTGCAAGTTCACACCTGCTAACGAGTTTCTGCTAACGTGGCTTGTTATATACTACAGTTTGCAACATTTATAAATCAGAATCTAAGTTATGTTTTCTATTTTGTAAGATGTATACCATTTGTTAAAATATATTTCATTTAAAAAAGCATTTCCATTAGCCTCAGTCTATAGCAATTAAATACTGTTTTAATCAAAAGTTTGGTTGTGCCAAATATATGAAAGAAAGTTTATAAAACCAATTGGGTTGGAGGATCCATTCTTTAACACTGATACAGGAAAACTTTCTTCAGTTTCAGAAAAGATCAAAAGGTAGAGTTAGTCCTAGTGCATTCCAAAGCAAAAAATGAATCTTAAAATGTATATTCCGCCATTGCTGAATTACAACAAAACAGGCACATTTTAAATGTACATTTTAAAGAATATACCAGAAAAAATTGTTCTATATAAAGTTGCAGATAAAGACACTCACAATATATCTTGAGTCCCCAAAAGGCAAAGATACAGGCTAATTAGTTTTTCTGGCTTCAAGTTATAGGATATGTTTCTGCTTAGTGATGAAGGGCTGCTGCTACCATTTAATAGATGAGCTTTGTTGGGGGAAGAAGGAAAAAAAGGAACAGAGTAAAGAAAAAGTAAAGAAGGAAGGAAGAAGGGAAGGAAGATTAAGGTTACTCAGATATGAATATGAAATAGCACCTCACTTTAGAAGAACTGATAAGAAAAGATTGTATGCTATTTACCTAAAATATATTCCACCAGAAGTAATATGCCACCAGCTTCCTCAGTTGCTGCTTCTCTATAACACTTCACAAGGCACTACATTTTATCATGGTACATATCTTATCAGGTTGTTGATATTTCTCTATTAAGCATAATATATCACAAAATGGAAGAAGAAGAATACTCTTAACAGTTGTGCAGATTTTAGTAAGTTCAGAGAGGTTTGGTGCTATTGATGGTATATGTCTCTTAAAGATGAAAATATTTTAAACATCGGCTCAATGTGTAATTTAACTCTGTCTTATTCTTCATTGCTGTACAACTGAAATTACTGCATATAGGTTAATTTTTAACTATGTGTTTTAATGAATCAATCCTGTAAGAACATTGCCATTCTGCCTCTGTACAACCAACACAGACCCAATAACCCTATGGACAATGAAAGGTCTGTGTAGATTAAGCATCTAATAAAATTATTGAGTTATTACAAATTTACATCCAAAAATCTATGCTGGTTTACTTTATTGATCACTATTTCTTTAACTTATCTCTGATGAATTTGAAGTTATTAAGTATCACTACCTTTTACATTGCACAAGGGCATTGTAATTACAGCTGTCCGGTACACTTGGACAGTCATTATTTTTGCTCATTAAAGCAGCTTCTATCATGATGACATCCTGTGGGATTAGGAATCCAATGAAAAAGAAAATCTTGACGCAGTGAAGAAGACACATCTCAGACCCCTCATAAGAACCATATATTAAGTCTGAAAAGTCAAAGCTAGTGTAGAAGAAATGGATCCAGAGGGCAAACTGAGGAGAGGATGGTCCTTCTAGCAGTGTCACCCATCCCCACCACTGGTGTTCTTTCATCTTGCCTTTATATACCCCTGTGCATCACATAGTTATCTGGAGATCTCGCCCAGCAAGCTGACAGCTGTGTGTGGGTTGCCTAATTACAGTAACCTGAGATTCGGCCACTTGGTTGCCCATGTTGTCTTTATGAAAGGTCTATTAGTGATTGCCCCTAATCATCATCATTATTAATACCTCAAAGGTGGCTCCACCCAGAAATGCTGGGAACTGATGGGGTAGGTCATGGGTGTGGTCAGTGTAGTCCTTTAAATACCTGTGGTCATAACGTAGGTGCTCCTGGCTGAGAGCAGTTCTGTCCACTCTTTCCCTTGCACAGCACAATCTAGGATTTTCCCTCTATTTACCTTCTGTTCGACCATCTAGCCAATTCCAGCTAAAGCCATGGTTGATGATGAGCTGACCGCCTTGGTAGTAGACAATGGGTCAGGGATGTGCAAGGCAGGTTTTGGAGGTGACGATGCCCCCAGAGCAGTGTTCCCCTCCATGGTAGGGCGTCCTCGGCACCAGGGCGTCATGGTGGGCATGGGCCAGAAGGACTGCTATGTGGGAGATGAGGCCCAGAGTAAGAGAGGCATTCTGACCCTGAAGTATCCCATCGAACACGGCGTTGTCACCAACTGGGATGATATGGAGAAGATCTGGTATCACACCTTCTACAACGAGCTCCGCGTGGCACCCGATGAGCACCCCATCCTCCTCACCGAGGCGCCCCTCAACCCCAAGATCAACCGGGAAAAGATGACTCAGATCATGTTCGAGGCCTTCAACACACCTGCCATGTACGTGGCTATCCAAGCCGTGCTGTCCCTCTATGCCTCGGGACGGACCACAGGTATTGTGATGGATTCTGGAGATGGGGTTACTCACACGGTGCCCATCTACGAGGGCTACGCCCTGCCCCATGCTATTCTACGTCTAGATCTGGCAGGTAGAGACCTGACAGATTACCTCATGAAGATCCTGACAGAACGAGGTTACAACTTCACCACCACAGCCGAGCGAGAGATTGTGCGAGATGTCAAAGAGAAATTGTGTTATGTAGCCCTGGACTTTGAGCAAGAGATGCTCAGTGCCGCTACATCCTCTTCACTTGAAAAAAGCTACGAGCTTCCTGATGGGCAGGTAATCACCATAGGGAATGAACGCTTTCGATGCCCTGAAGCCGTTTTCCAGCCATCCTTTCTGGGCCTTGAGTCCAGCGGAATCCACGAGGCAACCTTCAACTCCATCATGAAGTGCGATGTGGATATCCGCAAGGATCTCTATGCCAACACCGTGCTGTCTGGGGGCAGCACCATGTACCCAGGAATTGCTGACCGGATGCAGAAGGAAATTATAGCCCTGGCACCTAGCACCATGAAAATCAAGATCATAGCCCCCCCAGAGCGCAAGTATTCTGTTTGGATTGGAGGCTCCATCCTGGCCAGCCTGTCCACATTCCAGCAGATGTGGATTAGTAAGCAGGAATATGATGAGGCTGGTCCTCCCATCGTTCACAGAAAATGCTTCTGAATGGGCCTCCCTGACAGAGGTGTGGGTTTTCCTTTCTTCTAGGTCATAGTGATGGTACCGCGCTGTCCACTAGAATTAAGGTAAATAGACCACACTTCCTAAGGCACAAAACTAACAAAGGTATTTTTCTGGCCACGTATCCTGGAGTCTGGTTTAGCTAGTCACATCGTGATTTCTAACAACTGACAAAGTTATGGTATGTGCTCTATGTATGCTCTTCAGCTCAAAAAAATGTGATAAGGAATAAAATGAGAAATGTCCTTTTATGGAAACCTAGAGTTCTCAAGCTTTAAAAATCTAGATCTTGCTACAATATTCTGCAAAAGCAGTCTATACAAACCTGCAAAGAACTGTATTTCTTTAGCAACCATGTCTTCTTGAAGTATTTGTATTGTGTTATTTTGTCATATAGATGAAATTAATACCTTTATCACATAAGTACCAGAAACAAATTCTATCTTAAAATGTACTAATATATCTGGCTATCTGAGCAACTAATGTGAATTTCTTTACTCTCCAACAGTACCATGTAGGCACCTCCATGGTTTAATTGTTTCCTTATTAAATATGCATAATGAAACAGCCACCATTCTGTTCATATTTTGTATAAATCAACTACATTTTCATCTCTTGGTGGATTTCTGCTGGTCAAATGTATTTTAATATCTTAGCTTTTAAACTTTATAATACTTATGAAATAGTAAACCAACAGATAAAGCCTAATGTTTTAAATAGATGTCATATCAAATTAATATCATTCCAGTACAGTATGAGAATAACTATGTTTTGCTTAGAATAATAACAACATGTCGAACAAGTCCTTTCAGCTATGATTCTGGATATTTCTTTTATTCAGGGTTGCACAATAGGGAAATATCTTTTTATGGTATCTTTTTAAAAATATATTTTAGTGCAGTATAATAATCCCACATGCATTCTTAGAAAGATTGTGTAATAATTCTGCTCTATTACATCCAGTGACTTGCAATACTTCTTGATGAAAGTGTCTCTGAGATCTTAACATCTTTGAAAATATCAGTGCAACTCCCCATAGTATTTTAAATGTTTTAATGAATCCAGTGGTGGTTTAACAAATTTTAAGTGCTAGGGCATTTATTTCAAGCTTTGCTGTTTTGGTTATTTGGATATCAGGGTTATTTGTATTTTTAAGTTCTTGTCTGAAGATTTGACTTATTTATTTGTTTATGTACTAAGGCATTTTTAGGTTCTTGTGAGGGAGGAGTCTCTTAGTTGGGAAACTTCTAGTTGTGTTTTAAATATCTAAACTGAGTCTGTGTACATTTATTGTTTAAAATTAAACTTTTCAAATAATTTGATCATTGCTTATTTCCTTAGCTGTTAACGTGTTTTTGTAAATGCACTTACCTAAAATTAAAGGCACTTCATTTTACAAGACTTGAAGTCTCCTTTCATTAAAGTTGCTTTGTAATCACGGGCTTACATTGCCTGTTAGTTCCCCTCAGTCTTTCCAAAAGAACTAGAGAATGGGCCAGAAAGGCTTCCACTCCCTCGTATAACCTGTTCATCTGTATGCAGCATTTTTACATCCTGCATATTTGATCACGTAAACATTAAATTCAAAGGCAAAATTTTAAAAGAACATTAAATGATGGCTATCTATATTATAAGTTTCTTATCATTTCCATTAACAACTTTAAGCTTGGTGAATGAATGAGTGTCCTGGTAATTAGTAGTCAGAGATAATGGCAACAATGCTGTCTTGGATTTATATGCTACAACGCTCTCCATTTGCAGAGGGAGTACCTCTGACCCAAATTCTAAAGGACCAAAAACACATATTTCCCTGCCCACAGAAAAGTTATGGAACAGGTAAGATGAACTTCCAAAAGAGTGAGCTACAGAACTCTGCTACATGAGATGAAATATGAACCTCACAAGACAAACAAAAGTTTAAACCTCGAGTCTTTGGGTGTTTTCCTATTTATCAATATTGACTGATTGAGGGATGAGATTAATCAGGAAACAGCCCATCTCAACACTTCTACTTTAGAAATCAAGGTAAAGTAACACACCTGACATGTTATTCATGAGTGGTTCACCAGACTGGCTCACCAGCCAACCGATTTACTTAGAACATCTTATACAGCTAAACATTCTCTGACTTTGGGCTCAAAAATCCTAATTCAGGAGGCAAGGAGTAGGCGTCCAAACATGTCTAAAGCACATTATAGACCCTTGGGCAGGAAAGAAGGATGGATATTTGATCATGCATATTCCTGCTAGAATGGGCCAGCACTGAAGCAGGCTTCTCAGCCGAGTGGCACACCATTGTGAATAATCTCACCCCATTAATCATCCATTCTGAGTTGCAAGTAAAGACTGCTGCTGTAGTACTACTGCCTCTGGTTATTCCCCAATCACAGAAAATATTTTTCTGAAAGCATAATGGTTCCAAAGCCACCCTACATCCTCCTCTAGTGTGTAGTTGTGTTTAGTATTCAATAGCAAGATAGAATAGTCATAGAATAGACTTTGGACTATGTCTTAGATGTATGATTCAAAATTCTATAAGAAGGAAGGACCTAAATATAGGTATTGCATTTTCCATATAATCAAATGATAGGCCTTTGAGTTACAAGGAACTTACTGCATTTATTCATTGATTTTGAAACTACTAATCCAGTGCTTCATGCCAGAATATACAGGAGAAATGTTTCCAGTAAAGTAATCCAGTAGTGGGAGAAACTACTTGCAATGGGAGGAGATATAATTCAAGAAAGTTAGGTAAATACAGCCTAAGGTATAAAACTTTTAAAGTTAGAGTGATCAAAGAAGGGACCACAGAGTAGAATCTCTGCACACACACAGATTATATTGAGCACAAAAAAAATGACTTAGGTACCATTATGATCGCTGTTTAGTGAAGTTAATAAGAGTGTTTCTTAATTTTGAATGTTTCTATTGACCTATAAAGAAGTAGACAGCCTTTAAGGCTAAGTTCAAGGGTCACCCTTTATATGGAATGTTTCATAACCTTCTCTCTCTCTCTCTCTTCTTTCTAAGGAAAAGTAACCAGCTCCTCTTTTGTACTTCTTTTATGCTGTTTACATGTATAATCATAAACACAACACAACCTTATGTCCACATTACCTCAGACCTCACCAAAATGTACCCAGCAGACAAAAACAGTCATTTCTCAGCTTTGAAAATTCCTAGTAACAGACATCCTAACACAATAAGCATGGTTTAAATTAACAAATTAGTGACTTCATGCGTTCTGGTGTACCTCGTAAAGACCATAAATCTGTATTGTGTCACCACTGTATTCTGTCCAGCACCTGTCCATTAGCATCTACCCCATTGTTGGTATCTCACTCCCTCTGAGACATATATTTCTTTTTTGATTTTTTCTTCTCTGCTCTTTCTTTTCCCATTCACTTAACATGGAAAGTTAGAGGTTCTTAACATGGGAAACTAGAGGTTTAGTTGTTGGTGTTGTTTTATATAATGAGCAAGGTAATGAGTCCATTTCCTATCAAGCATTGTTTACCCCCTCCTTTGTTTTTCCCCTACCATCCCTTTCCTCCCCACCTTCCCAACTCTTCCCTCCCTCCTCCACAAAGTTGTAAAGTTCATTTTCAACATAGTGTCTTGTACCTCTTTCCTGTTGTTCTTCTTAATGTACTTATAATGCACTATGTGATTTTTTTGTTTCTTTGTATGTTCTTCTCCCATGGTACAACCCCTATCATCACTGTATTTGATTCTGGTGTCCTGCATCTTATATATACATTTTTCTAATTTGGGGAGGGGAAGGGAAAGAACAAAATGCTGAAATAAGGATAATGGATGACCCATTTTAATAATGAGATGTACAAGACAGTATGTTGGTTTTTTTTTTAAGACAAGGTTTCACTAGGTAGCCTAGATTCAAACTTAGGATCCTCCTGTTTCATCCTCCACAGTACTAGATTATAGGCATGCATCACCACATTCGATGAGAGGCTGTAATTTAACAAACTTTTTTATTAGTAAAGCATTTCCATTCCTCTAATTAGTCAAAGGATCAATCAACCTCATCTTTTGAAGTACACACTAGCTACTGAGCTGCTTAAATTTTAGAAGAAAGGAAAGGATAAGAGAACAGGGGGATAAAAGGAAGAAGGGAGGGAGGAAAGAATACCCTCCATGAGTACAATAGTATATTTAATTCTTCTAACCTATTGCATTCTTGGTGATAATTTCCTCTTTATACTAAGCTCTTAATTACCCTAGAGTTGAGAGTTTCAGGTTTTTGACTCAGTAATAACTTAGACATTATAGTATATTAAAAAGTGGGTGTTTCTGGAAACTATTCATGGCCTCCTCCAAGAATACAAATGTTTCATTTCAAAAAATGTTTGAAGCTAAGAACTAAGCATATGGTTTGCCCGATACTGCTGCCATAGGTTGATATACACAGATGGAAGGTCAGCTAGATATGTAGACAAGTATACATGCATACATATGTGCATACGCATGCACAAATCAGTAGATAGACCTCATTAAAATTCATTCACACTTTAAGACTTCATCTTTCAATATGAAAGGAACTGTCTAAACTACACCAGTCATTTTTTTCAAGTCATCAGTAAAGGTAATGAACACTTTACCACTTTCATGATTGCCTGGCTTGTCTGTCAGCCTGCTCCATATCTGTTGTTCTCACTGTCTTTGGATTTTAGGTTCACATAATGTACCTAACAGCTGTGTCAGTATGATATTATGACAGATATTTTATGGAGGCAGCATCCTAACACAGCTGGAAACGTGGAAAATCTTACTTAACTGGCCATTTAACAATATATAAATTAATTGCTGATTTTTTCTCTCTAGAATTGGGAATTCTGCTTTTGTAACCACACACACACACACACACACACACACACATACATACACACACACATACATCATGTGGCATGGTATCTATTGAAGGCAGCAGACAGATCAAGAATGATTAAAATTCCTACATATATATATATATATATATATATATATATATATATATATATATACCCTTACAGGCTGTAGTTAGGGTGTGAAAAGAAAGCTAGACACTAACACAGCATTTTAACTTAATGGGGTTTCTTCTCTCTATGCTGCATATTCTCCATGGCC